AAGTATCCAATCTGATTTTTGTATGCAGGCAGCTTACAGCTGTGGTTTGCCTAGGGAATATCCCTGCAAAGAAAACACACTGATAAGCAGGGTATCCTTATCAAGCACATATGCACCAACATATTTTTTAACTGTGATTTATATAGAGCAACTGTTTCACTGACAGGACATAGACTTGCTGAGCAAGGATGTCCTGGATTCCACCCCAGAGGGGAAGGGTTACACCTTGCATTCAAATCTGCACTTCAACGGGTATCTATCTCCTCTGGGAGGTAACCATTACCTTCCTTACTTCCTATCATCCTAAAATAAATGAGATCATCTGAAGACTCTGTTTAACAGAGAAAGGACCTAACCAGCAAACCTGGACTACAAGTCTACACTTCAGATGGTGGGGAGAACACCCAAAACAAGTCAAAAGACTTTTCTGCATCATAGAAACTTTTTAGATCTTTGCTAAACTGTAAAATAATAATTATGATGATAGTAATAATAAACCAAACTCTTTGTATCTTTAATGCTGTGCCATAACTTGATGTTTTATATGTTTATATTTTTTTACATTAATATACTTTATACCTGTATAAAAAAAACATACCTTCTATGTTTTTAAAGGTTTTCTCCCATGTGACTAAAACATAACAGATAAACTTGTGTCAACTGTTTTAATATCGTACATTTCCACAGCATCATTCCAATGTACGTTGTCTGACCTATTATGTTTAAATTACAGTTTCAGCATAGGTTTTTGAGATTAATTTTCTATTTATGTAATTTTAAATGAAAAGAAAAAAAAATCTTTCTGTTTGGTAGGGGATAACATTACAATGAGATTCTAGACAGAAGGTCTTATCTAGAGAAAAGTTCCCTTATTCTATTCTAGGGACTTTGTATTTTTTTGTAGCTTGCCCTAGAATCCAACCATACTTGAAAACATGCTGATTGCTTCTTTTTAAAAAAATTGAATATTTTTATTATAGCATATTTGCTATGCCTTCTTGTACCTTGTAATTACACTTATGGATGTGAAACATTCCATAATATGATATGATGTGATATGATATGATATCAGGTTCATTTTATTCTTTGACTTTCTGTTGAGAAGGAGGATATCACTTAAAGGGATCAAAATAATCTCAACTAGTATGAAATATGAGCTATCACAGAGATCAGACAAAATGAAGACCCAGCTCTACATCTCCTCAGTTTTTGTTTCCAAAATTGACACTTCAGAAACCACACTTATCAATACTTCAGTCCCACCCCTTCCATTGACAATTAATCTGTTCAAGTCAATAAAGAATTTATTAAAAGCTCTGACATTTTTCACTGAAAGTGTCACGCAGTAAGGAAAATTACTCCGTGGGCAATAACTGCAAGAGTCCAAATTAATTCTGCATATTCACCTATTAAATTAATTGTACTGCAACAGACTCTAATTATTCCAGTTCTGAGCGTATCTGGACACAGTAACAAAGTCTGAGTCAATTGCTACAATGGAGTGAGACCACATTTACACTCACAGAAGTGATATCACTACCAATGTTGTCCCAGGTACTTAGTGTATATACATTGCTTTTTTCCAAATACTTTTTTTACGGTCTCAAATGAAATAATACTAAAAAGTTTTTGACTTATAAATATATTCTGTAACTAGCATTAAGTAAAAATATAAAAGGATTCTGAACTGGAGAGAAAGTCAGGACTAGGATGTGACACCAGGATTCATGGCAAGAGAGTGAACGATGGATTAATCATATAAAACATCCATGCACTCCCAAGACCTGGCTACCAGTTTTAACAGAGCTCACATTCTTGACAAAATGACAACAGGTAAATTCCACTAAAACTGTTTCGACAAGTCAGTTGTCTCTTGCCTACCAGAGCAGAGCTAAGTGTCAAATTCCAGCATCAGCTATAAAAGTGGAAAATGGTATGAGCTCCACAGAAGGCAAGAAAGCCAGGTTTACAAACTGTGGTAACAATTTGAAGCTAGAAGCATAGGATGTGCTCAGATTTTGACCCAAATCATTGTGGTGTATTTCTGGTGTAATTAGATAGTTTAAGGTTGAATTGATGTTTTAAAGGCATTATTTACAATTTAAAGATCAGTGCAAACTACAAATCTCAGTATACACATCAAGCAGACATATTCTGACAAAAGAGTACAGATTCATCCACACACCTTTGGATAAAATAAGGTATTTATTTTGGACATTATTTTTTATTTTGAGGTTCTCTCACTTCCTTTCAAATCTAAACTTGGCTTGACTTACTGCCACATGAAGAAACCCTTGAAGATGTGGCTCCAAGGCAAGATCACATGAGCAGCATCTCCTCTGGCTTCCATGGGACAATCCATCAGAGCACCTCACTGGTATGTAAAGGGCTTAGTGAGCTGACAACTAAGAATTACACCAGCCTGTCAGTTAAATTTTTCCAGTTAGGACCAGTCAATGTCTCTTTTTTGCTCTCCTGCTGTTTGGTTTTTTTCCTGGTGAAGCTCTCCTGATCACCATCATCTCTCCTCTCTCTGTTTTTTGTCTTGAGGCACTCAAGGTTTTTCTTTTATTAATCATTATACAATAAAGAGGCCTCCTTCAGATCTTACACTATCTCTTAGATTAAAGGGGTAGACAATCATTTTGGCTTTACCCTAATATACACAATTCTACAGCTATCTCATTCCTTGGGACAAGAATTTTCCAAGGCATTTCCTGGGATAGTATGCAGAGCAGTAATGCCTCCTCATACATATGCCAGTCTGATTGTCTGATGCATTTCACACAGTTCAGTTTAGAGTCCAACTCAGTCACTTCTCAGGGCTGCCAAGCCCTCTCTGATCTTCCCTCACCACACACGCAATCGCCTGACGAGATCCTGCTCGCTCACTGACACTGCTTTCCACAGGGGCGCATGCCAAGCACACAAAGGCCAGGGAATGCAGAGGAAGTAACCATTTTTGGAACTCGATTACTTCAAAGCCATTTCACACACTCCAGTGCACTTTTGGTCGCACAGAACACGACATGACATAGGGAACCTGCCTTTTTAACCTTTAAAAGCTTTCCTGTTACCTGAAATCCATATGACGTGGGGAATTCTTGGCTGAAGCAGCATTAGTCATTCTGTCCACTAAACAAGGCTGCTACGGCAGATTCCCATCTGCAGCACTGCGTTAGTCATTCCATTCCTTGAGTGAACCGGCTGGCTGAGGGTCATCCCCAGCGCAGCGGCAAGGAGTGGAGTGGCAGAAGGTGCCAGGCTGCCCTCTTCCTACGCTCTCCCTACCTCCCCGTCGTCGCTCCCTTCTGTTCCCCTACACCACCCGGCCCCACATCCCTTCCAAGGGCCGACGTTATGCAGAATATAAGAAATTCACATTATTCCCTCTTTGGTGGACCCGATGCCCCGTACGCTGTTCATTGTGACCAATGGGCAGGAAGAGAACCTCTTCGTTAAGTGCATTAAGTTAATTAAGTGAAGAAGCACGAGGTGCCTCAAGGCAGCCGGAGGTAGCGGCGCCCAGGCACAGCCCTCCGGGCACACACCTGGGGCGGGACGTGCCCTCAGCGCTCC